TCTCACAGGTCCTTCTGTGTTGATATATAACATGCTGATCATTCTGTCCTCTTCCAACAGAAAATTCTATGTGAATGTTCTTTTCATTTATGCCAAGGCCATGAATTAAAATATTAAGGAAGGCTCCAAAATGACCTACATAAGTAATCCCTATTCCGCAACTTGCTCTCACATGGGGTTCTCCAAGAATCTTGGATGTATGCCACATTACATTTTAAATTTATTAGCTTAATCCATCATGTCTCCTTCTGAGATCTCAGCCTTCAAGAGTTGTTTCATTCTAAGAAGAAAATGGATGCAGGAAGAGAATCAAAAATTCCTTCCCACATCCACAAAAATGAAAGTCAATATAAAAAAGGCAAGTTTTTCTTAATAGTTAACTTCCGTTGATCCAAGAGATTCACTAATTCTTTCAAAGGCTTCCTCTCACATACTGAAAGACTCTTGTTCCTACTTGTTATTCTTCTGTCTTGCAACTCCCTATTCTAGCTTCTCTCCTAATCAGCTATCTTGCAGATTGAAGCTTCTCCCTATTCTAAATTTTGAAGAATTTCCTACATAACACCAGTAGCTTCTTAGCGCTCATAACTTAATGGGTATTATATTTTCCTTGTGAATCACAGGGACTTCTCACCTGTGACTGCTATTATTGCTGATACTACAGGTACCTGCAGTACTTCCAAGGATTTAAAATCTTTTAATAACACTGATGCCTGTTTCTCAGTCAGAGTGCAATGGTATGAACTGCTCATCTACTGAAAACAGACTTTATATCCTGGCTGCACTTTTACACTATTTGCTTTTGAAGTAGTAGACAGCCTGTTAATTAAACTTACTATGTTTCAATGTATGTGAAGTGTCTGTGAAGTTTAGTGGCTTTTTCAAAAGTGATTTGACGTGGTTCTACATTTACTGTTTCACCGCAACTTCGGCCTGCACATACAGGCAGACAGACACTTTTCTAGCTACCAGTGCGATGTTAGACCACAGCTTTCCCTCCCTGGTGCTACTGCCTGATATGAAAACTAAAACTTTGAGATACAGAACAGGCTTCTTTTTTTTTTTTTTTTTTCCTTCAAGGACTACTAGATCTTTCTTTACTTTGTCCACTATAACTGACCGAAACAATTTGGTCAGTTCTATAGAGAAAGGAGCAGTATCCACCTTCTCGCAGAGCCATTTTAATTCTGCAATGCTAACAGGCAAGAAAAACATGAAAAATTCAGTCAGTCATCAGATTAATCAGAACACACCTAAAGAACTGCCAAGTAAGATGGTACCCTTTTACATACAAGGTTTTAGAAGAAAATCATATTATAACTTTGCTGCAGTTTGCTTTATATTCAGTAAGCCTGTATTAATATGACATCTGTAACAGCAGCTCTGGGCCCCAGAATCTGAGATTTTCAGTTTGTCTGTCTAACTACTGAAATGTCTCACTTGTGAGTGCTTCGTAATCCTTGAAGTCTGAAGCATCACTAAATAACTCTTGTGAGTCAGGAAAGCACAATTATCACAGGCATTTTTTCATGGAAAGCTATTTAGATGTTTCACACTGAGGGAGAAACAATATGCATTGAAAATGTGCGTAGAACAAATTCAATTCATTCACTGCTGTCCCTGTGATTTTTCTTGACCTAAAAAAAGATCCTTTGTCTCTTCCAAGTCAATTAAAATAAAGGCACTGAGAGATCCTAAAAGCCCTTCAGAAAACCCTTACACTCCTCCTCTGCCAGACAATGACTACTCCAATGCTCAGCTGCAGGGGTCAGTTGCTCTCCAGCATCTAGCTGGCACAGGAGCCCGCACCTGAGGACTTTGTGAGCTTTGACTTCACATGCTCGAGCTGAATGTCAAGAGCAACATTCCTAGGCTTGGCTTCCCCCGACCCATTTCTCTACAAGATGGAAATCTTGCAGGCCCTGTCAGGGCACACGCAAGGCATGAGCAACCTGCAAGAAGGAGGTGGCGAGGACGAAGCACGTTCTGACTGAAACATTCTCCTCACTTTGTGGGAGATCTGTATTCAAACCCTGCTCAAGATCTGGTCTTGAACTCTGTCTCCCCGTATCTCTCTCGTCAGATATATGACATTCTGAATGAACTATTTTGTATTTTGCAAGTACTGTTTGTCATTTTCTATCTCTGTGGTGTCTCCTATATGTGAACAGAGTGTCCTACAGATTAGGAGTTATTTAGGACTTCATTTAATTTGCCAAAATGTGTAATCACGTATATAGGGAAAAGTTTCAATTAAAAAAAAAGCCTTAAAATAACATCCAGAGACTTATTGCTGGGTGATAAGGGCATTTCCCTAAGATATGGAGGCATGTATCTCTTTCAAATAGGGCATTAGAGCCTGAGCAAACAAGAGTATTCTGCCCACCATCCTCGGGAATGAGCTGTGCCCTGCTTTGGTATCTACAGCCACTGTGCCTATTTGAAAGATGGAGGGAAAAACAGGAGAACTAATTCAAATGTTTAGTAAAAAGCTAGGAGAATAATGAATGCCCCTTGCAGAGATAAAAAAAGACAGAAACTCCTAAAAGGCTCATGAAAATATGGGAGAAAGACTTTATTCACATCCTTGTAAAGGGAAAGGTTACAGTACAAACTTAAGCTTTAAAAGGCATAAGAGAATCAGTACGAAAGCAGTCATTACAAATGCACTAATTAGGGAAAAAGCTTGTGCCTCATCTGACATGAAAAAAATCCTACCATAGGACCAAAACTGTTACGAAACCACGCTTTGTTAGTTGTGCAGTTCACAGAAGTACTTGCTTCAAAGCTGTAGCCTGAAAACGACCAGCACGTGTCCACATGTGAAGGCCTGGAGCCCACACAGAGTCAGGCTGGGAGAAGAGAAAGAGGAATGCACAGAGTAAACTGCCACTCACCAGGAAATTAAGGGTAGAACTCTTCTTCTCATGAAATGATTGCTATATTAAAAGCACAGCCACCATCCTTGTATTAGACTTGAAAGTTTCAGGGAAGGGTTTGTGCAATTACATATCCTCTTTTTGGCAGGGTGAAAGCCTGTGGTAGAGGAAAATTCATATAGAAACTGTACTTTTGTGAATGGTAAGAGACCCGGAATACTGAATATTCCAGGGTATCTTCCAGAAGTTCTGATTTTTTTTAACGTAACCTCGCCACGTTACACTGGCACACATCTTTGCAAGATCTGCTTGTGATAAAGCACATCCTTGTGCCCAGAGCCCTCCTGGAGTTTAAGTGAGAAAATGTTACATGTCACCCTGTTAAAACAGTCATACCTACTGAGCAAGGAACCAAGTTAAATTTAATGGTTTCTTTTACTCCCATCTAGTGACAACAACACAACTAAGAGGCTGATAGAGAACAATGCTGTACTCCCCCACACATCACAACAAAAACATCTAAGAGACCAAGAATTGCACTGTATGCTGCAGGGTGTATTTAAATTAATAACATGTCAGAATTATTGATGAGTATCAGCCTGGAGAAGCCCAACTCGGCTGAAGATTT